TGCACGCCCGGGATCCGAACCTGCAAACCCTGGCTGCCGAAGTAGAGCATGCGAACTTAACTGCTATGCCACGGGCCGGCCCCCCATGTTTCTATTTTTGATGCTTAAAATTCCAGGCTCCATAAATAGAACACAAAAGGAATATGAAAGTAAATCTCTGTTTACCATCATATAGATCAATGAATTCACATTTCATTGTCTTTATCTGGAGAGGAAATTACTGAATAGAACAGCAAACTCAGATGGTGTGTGTAAAAGGCAATTTATCCCCTTAGCATCATAGCTAATTTGATGGATTTTTTTTCTTTCTGTTTTTAAAAGGATATTGCTTGGCTGTTTGAATTGCCTTGTCTGGTACCTCATAGATACACTGTTAATCATCTTTGAGGTTAAACGAGCTTTCATTAAGTGTCTTAGTCCTGCAGAATCCCCCAACCCATCCGAGGACGACAGTGGAGGAGCAAAAACATGAGCTTCCACTTTCCTTCTCCTCTTGCTTGCCAGGTATCCGTCAGCCAGCTTCCTCTCCCTGCCACCAACCGCTGCAAAATTTTATTTCCAAAGATAAAACACATCCACCGTGCCAGCTTGAAGTAAAACGCCAGCTAAACGCAGTTACTACTGCTGCCTAAATATTAATTTGTAGCTTACTTTGCCCTCCTCTCATTTCATGGCTTTTTTGCCTATGAGATTTTGAGAAACCCAAGGATATAATTCTTGAAATGTTTCATCTTTTTCTGTTTACTTACCCACATTTTGCTTCCTGTTCCCAAAACTATGGGAATAAAGCATTCCAGATAAGAGATGTGGCTCAGGGTAAGCAATACCCCTTATCTCCCTCATCTGCACGAGAGTTTGTGGTACCATCATGCTCAGGACTTATAATATATGGCACTGAACTGCAATTATTTATTTTCATGTCTGGCTCCTAGATGGTGAGGACAGGAGCCATGTTCTGCTTGCCTTGCGTGCCTGGCACATTTCAAAAATATGTTTTTGAAAGAATGCCTGGCAGTCTAGGATAGTAAAATGATCTACGTTAGAATTTAAGCTTCACCACTTTAACTCTGTGCCCTAGGAAAATCACTCACTGTGTCTGACCCGTAATTTCTTCTTCTGCACTAGGGGATGATTTCTTCACTGTCCTCCTGAAGGCATTGGTGTGAGGCTTAAATTGGCTAATATGCATGAAAAGACTTTCTGCATTTTTCTCCGCACATCAAGTATTATTATTAGGGTGCTTAACCTAAGAAGTTTGTGTTTCGTTTGGTGCACTTTTAGAAAGACACGTTTGATTTTTCTGGGGGGATATTCCTGACTCTAATAACATTCATATAACTGACTTTTTAGGATCTGCATGCTGTTGCTAATATAGTTGTTTTATGGATCTTAAACATATGTTTTTATTCAAAATCCAAAACTGTAAGACTGTATTCTACATGGACTAATTAAAAAAATTTTTTTTAAAAAATGTGCTTTTAGGATAACCCAGTCAGAATAATGATCTGGTTGTACACATTTCATTGTTCTCTCAGAAACCAGAGGAAGCAGATCAGGACTTCTAGTAGTCAAGAGGGATGTTACAAAATAATTTAGTGTGATATAGCCCTGAATTCAACCAGCCAGAATGTGGCTATAATCAGATTTTCTATATTGTCTGCACAGAGTTCTTTCTATGACAACTTGCTAAGCAAGTCAAGTCAAAATGTCAGCCTGCATATGCTCTGTAAGCTCGTTTGTAGGATGGACATCCGGGATGAAGCAAACAGCAAACACGTTTTGCTGTGGGAATGCCGATTAGCTTGTGAGTGGCTCCTTTTATTTGATAGGAGGAAATATAGTATAATGGTTAAAAGAGTGTGTTTTGATGCTACTTAGACCTAGGCTCACATGCTTCCTTTGCTTTTTACAAGTTTTGTAACTTCTGAGCCTCGAGTTTTTCACCTGTAAAATGGATAACCAAATATCTATATAACAGGTATAACAGGATTGTTAGGAGAATTAAATATAGGACATTGCTCAGCACCACGTAGGTGCTCAATAAAAGGTCATTATATTACCTGTAGTAATCAGTAATGTTACTAAGTAATAATGAGATTAATAACATTATAATATCAATTATATAATAATAATAATAACGATGATGAGGCTTATGCTTGACAGATGCTGTCCTAAGAATTGACGAATATTAACTCATTTAATCCACACGCACGGGTAGGGACTATTATTGTCTCAGGTTTACAACTGAGACTCAGAGAGGTTAGGTAAATTGCCTGAGGAAAAAGGCACAACTAGGTTTTGATCTCAGACAGTCCAAGCCCAGAACCACAGTTCTTAACCACCATGCTCTCCCCCTGATGCCTTCCTGCCCGATCATACTGTTATGGACTTAGTGTTTTAGTGACATGAGTGGCAGTTGTTTGGATGGTGCAGGAAATAGTGATCACATTATTGTGGCTTGTCATGGGCACCTACATTCGACACCCATAGAAGGAGTCTGTGTCCACTAGATGGCATTGCTGTTTTAACAAAATCTGAACCAAGTCAATATTTAGGTTTAGGAGCCTGCTAAAATTGAGAGCACTAGCAGGACAATCTAACTGCATCCCTAAAAGTCTGATGGAAGAAACCTCCAAAATTTACAGCATCTCTAGAGATCTCTAAAGACTACTGGTATCTTGAAATAATTAAGAAAAATATATGCTAGTTCATTTGGGATGTCAATGTCTGTGTAGAAAATCTGGATGAATTTTGAGATTATCTAGTCCAAATGCATCAGTGCATACATAAACAGACTGAGCGGCAGAGAGGAAAAGTGACTTGCCTAGGGTTACTCAGACCTGATGGTTTTGGCCATAATTCTCTTTCCTTAATACTTCATACTAACTCTAAATCACAAAGAAACTGTGATTTCTGAATTCTTAGAAGACTTTCCTTTTGGGCATGGGGCAGAAGATTGCCCAACAATTGTGAGTTTTTGTTTCACTAGGTTTTAAACATGTGTTCCAAATCAATAGCAGACTCAGGCACTTAGATATTCAGTAGGATAAATGCAAAAAATGGTGCCTCTTTCTTTTTCTTTTTAACACGTCCTCTTGGAAAGACCGAGTGACTCCACTTAAAAAGACTGTCCCTACTGGTTGACAATGCCGTTTGTAGATATTAAATCCATAGCCAGTAGCAGGGTAATGAATAAGCAAATGGACCACGGAATCAGACTGCCTGGGGGGACCCTGGCTCCATCAAGTAACTAAAGGACCCTGGGAGGGTCATGAGATACCTCTAAGCCTCTGTTTCCCCATCTGTACAATGGGAATAATATTTTTACTTATTTACTTTTATATAACGTTTTACTTGAAGATGCTTGTGAAAATGAAATGTGTGTGAAGTGCCTGTGATGTAGTTAGAAAACAAGGTTAAGGGTAGTAATAATAATGAATATTTTTGTTATTATAGCTGATGTTTACTTTTCTATTTCTCTCAGTTGTGAATGTCATTACAGGTGCTTTGTCAACAACGCTTTCCCTCACTGTCACATGCTGAATTGCTAAAAGAGAGAACTAATGTTTAAGGTTGTATAACTGTGTGACATCCCTTCTTCCTCAACCAGATGGTAGAAGTAGCCAAGATGCATATGGCATGTTCTTCATTATGTGTTCACATCAACTTTATTTAAAACACTCGTAGGCTTTAGGCTCCTACTCACAGTGTAGACAGGGAAGATGACTGAGCACATAGTATACAAGTAATAACAGCTAAGAGGTATTGAGTACTTGCTGGTGCCAAACATCACTCTGTTTCACAAGTATTAACTCATTTAATTCTTACAACAACCATGTGATCTACAAACTAATACTTTTCCCTTTTTAAAGATGAGCAATCAAAAAAAAAAAAAAAAAAAAGATGAGTGAACTGGGATTGAGAAACTTGCTCCAGCTCAAATAATAAGCCAAGATTTGAACTCAGCTGGCCTGGTTCTGACTTCTGTGCTCTGCCATCTCTCGGGGCACGATGTGAGGAGGCCTTACAGGTTCCTGAGCTCCACACTGCTTCCCCCTGCCCACTGAATACTGCGATGAAGCCTGATACAGTCACCTTTGGTTAGCTCCTCTAGGCTACTGTTAACATGCAACTCCGTTATTCAGGAGGGCAATGTGTTAAATAAACCTACATCAATATTTTTAGGGCAATTAGTTAATGAGATTACTGGTTAAACATTTAATAGACTCCTGAGCTTGACAGGGTAAAACAAAGCTGTGAGGGTCAGAAGAGAGCCTGCCTAGGATAGGGCACTCCTGAAGACCACTTCTTAGGAACCAAACGGCATCACAGCAGAGAGAGGATTGGGTTGCTGATGCAATTGTGCCTGTGACTAGCCCTACTCATCGGAGCTTATTTGTTGTTCTTATGTTCTGGAACATTCTAGACTCCACTCTTTTCATCGCCAGTAATTCAGACTCTATTCCTATGTAGAATTCTTGAATTCAGATTTACAAGAGCCTTAGAGGTCTTCTGGTCTACCCCTCTGCTTTCACAAAGAGGGAAACTGAGGTACCATGTGCTTATAGTTTGTCCCCCAGTTATCTTAGATGAAGAGTTCAAGCCCTGTTCATTCAGTTATTACATACTGTTTCCATCTCCCTTAGCTAGTTTGGTTTAAATAACATCACTTTGAGTACTTGCTGACGTTTTCCTGTTTATACCAATAACACTTTTCCTTCAGTGATGAACCCAGATTCAACAGATAGCATCCGTTCTTTATAGATAGCATCTTTCTATCTATAATTTCTTCTTTCTTCCTTTGCTTGAAATAAAATTTTATGGGGCAGGGGCACAATGACTGTCATTAGAACATATCTTAAAATCCGTTAGTTTTTTCACTAGAAGCTTTGAACGCAAGTAATTCAACTTAGACTTAAGAAAACGACCATACTAAATAGGACCAAGGCAACTTCAAAGCAGAATTTCCAAAAATGAGCTGGAAGGAGACTTCCACTTACCGACTTCAGTCATTGTTATCCCTGGTGCTAACTGCCCGTTGTTGAAAGAGCTATAGGTAAACAAGTTGGGTACGGATGTGAGGTCATAGATAGGTTCTTGCTTTATCTGTTTGATTCCAGTCATGTCAAGTCCTGACTGATCAGGGGAAGGCTGGCCGGAATCCACGTTGTAATAACCCTCGGACTTGGGCAGGTCAATGACGTGTCCGTTGGCATAAGTGCCGCTGGCCTCGTTGTTCAGGCTGCTGAGGCCGTTGCTGATGCTGCTGCTATACACCCTGGCAAGAGCTTCCGCCTCCCCGCTCTGCTGCTGCCGCTGCTCCTGCAGCCGCTGCTGATGCTTCTGCACCTCAGCATACAGGCTGTCCCTTTGCTTCTTGGACATCCTTCCGAACTTCACAGCTGGGTTGGAGAGAAAAGCAGAAAATAGCACTTGTGGTTATCATTCTCATTAACCACCTCAGGTCCAAGGGGTCGTGGATGGTGGTCCCAACATCAAATGCACAAGGCAATAGCACCATAGGCCGAGTCCATTCACTTGCCCTCCACACTTGGTGAAAGGTTACGTTCAGGGGTGTCTGTACTGGTTTACACGCATACTGAGAACTAAATCTAAGCTAGGAAGAAATGTAAAAACTTACATATTTCTCATGGCCATGAAATTAGAAGGCATGTTTCCTTGTTCTTTCTTACTTGTCGGAAAGAAAAAAAACCCCACAAAAACCAAAAACTACCAAATACTTGATATTAAAATGTCAACCAACACTCATTATTTGCTTTTCCCTCTAAGCATTAGGATTACTAGATTGTCAGATAGGACCCTATTATTTCACTATTTTCTAAATAGCATGTTGGGTAAGACCAAGGATGTGGGGCAGGGTGGTAAACACACTTTTAAGTAAACCACATTATTTGCTTTCAGTTGGCTTTTGAGACCAAATGAAAAGGATCTTCGGAAAATAGAAATTTGGTGCATCCAATGCCCAGCAAATGAGCTAACAATAACCCCTCCTTTCTCGTTCTACCACCCACAAGTTTTGTGTTGCCCATCTCCTCTGACAAAATCCTCAGCTATTCTGAGGGAAAAAGAAAAAGAGGCCCTGGAAGTGGTCACAGAGTGATATGAAGATGCTTTGATCTGAATGCATTTATTCTTAGCTTACAGAGCTTCACCTCCTGAACTGTTATGGACATTGACATTTTTCCTCACAAGCTGTCAACTCCCAGTTTAAGCTGTGAACATCCTGAGTCAAGGCGCCACCTTGTCTGAATCATCAAGCACTGTGTCGTTCAGCTCATGTTAATGGTGGGGATTATGACAAGCTTGGAGTTTCCTCTCTGAGTTTCTGTTTTCTTTTGTGACAGTGTTCCTATCACCTGTTGGTGTTGGGAGCTCAGAGAATGTAGAAAGAAGAAAGTAGAGGGTAGAAATATGTTCAATTCCTGGATTCAGTCACTAGGGTTGGTGAGAATAACTTCTAAGGATAACTAAACGGTGAAGTGCTTAAGAACTCTCCAGCACAAAGGGCCCACAGAAGAAATTCTTGCTGGGAAAGAGCTACCATTTCACCCTCCAATTTTCCTCTAATATTCATTCTCTTCTTGCAGTGGTTACAGAGCTACCAAATTTTGTCTGAGCATTGGCTGTTCAGAATGGAGACCACATTTCCCAGCCTCCCTCACTGCCAGGTGTCACCATGTGATTAAGTTCTGAATAACAGGAAGTAAATGGAAGTGCTGCATACACTTCCGGGTGTTGAGGCATAATGTTTTCCTCCTTCCTCCTTTCCTAGCTTGCTGGAGGATAAAATATGTGAAGCAGAGCTGAGCCACGTCAGTTATCCCAGACAGGGCCATCTACGATCAGCAGAGCCACAGACTGACCTGTAGCTGATGGCAGATGCATGAATGAGCCCAGTCAAGGGCCCCCATTTAACAATTTTAGGTTCAGAATTCTGCTGTTAACCATAGATCTCATAATCAAAGCTAACAATGTCAAATAAGTATGCTGTCAAGACCTCTGCCTAGGTAACCATCTGAAACTCAATGGTCTATAGTTATGCCTTTTCCAAGAAAGCAACTTATCAGGTTACTGAGCAACTGAAGTATTTTCAAAGAAACGACTTAAAGCTCCACTACACTTTAGAATGATCAGGCTTCATCCTAAACCAAGGACTTCGCTGACAATTACCATTATATTATTTTAGAATGAATTTTGCATTCATTTTAGAAACATGCATGAGCCACTGTTTGTTTTATGCCCCCTCCTATAATAAAAGTGATGACATATTTGGGAAAAAATTACAGTACAGGGCAAAAATAAACCTACTCAGCTTTCCTGACATATAAATAGCTCCTTGTCAGTATTTGTAAATACCTTTGTTGTATTCATAGGCCTATTTTAACAAAGGCTCTATTACTATTATATTTTCGAGTAGTAGCATTCGTCTTCCCACTACCCATTAATCAGAATGGCACATATTTTAAGTGTTTGCCCCTCTCAGACTTGAATTATTCTGTTAATGAGATTCACTTGAGTATAGAGTCAGCCTCTTGTTAAACTGCTAGCTCTCAAAGAAACTAGCACAATTCTGTACACATTGTGAGTGCTTTATAAATATTCAGGGATGGCGGTATTTGCTCATGATGTGCTCTTAACCCTCATTTTGATACCACACTAGCAAAGAACAATTTTATGCAAAAAGTATTGGAAATCTTCTCGTATTTATTTGGATTGAGATTCTGAATGGAATGGAAGTGTTTGGAGTAACTATAAAACAAAGTCATTGCTTCTTCAAGGATGTCTACTTACTACCACGTGACACTTAGACACATGTTTTTGGTTTTAAGAGAAACTAATTGTAGAACTACTCTCTTGGTTTTTCATAGTCATTTTGGAAATTATTTCATTTTACTATCTTTGGTTGTAAAGTTCTCTAAGTTGATATCTCCTTGCTTATCAAGGAAACTGGTGTTAATTTAACTCAAATTTCAAGGATGTGCCTTTTTTTTAGTGCTCTAAACTTTGTAGAAAAAAGTCTACCCAAACCTGTTCATTAATTTTAAAATATTCTCTCTCATCCTTTTTCACTTTTTCTCCAACAGAACTTCCTGTGATGATGGAATGTTCTCTATGCTTTCCAATGTGATAGCCGCAAGTCACTTGTGGCTATTGAGCACTTGAAACACAGCTAGTGTGCCTGAAGGACTGAAGAATGGAATTTTAAATTTTATTTAATTGTAATCAATTTAAATTCAAATTTAAATAGCGACACGTGGATACCATATCGGACAATGAAGTTCTGGGTAAGAAGAAGCCTAATTGTGAAACCTGTCCTTGTAGGGCAGCTTTCATTTTTCCACACAGGCATGTTTTAGGAGGACACATACTTGATCATTGCAAGATATCATGTTTTCTCTTTGTGGCTCAATATCTTTCTGATGCCGAGAGACAGAGTATGCCAATTATCTATATTTCTTTAAAACCTGTTAAGTATTTTTTTCTGTGTTTTTTTGGCCCACACCACCTTGAATTTCACTAGAGGGAGTGTGACCAGAGGCACGTGATTCACATAAAAAGAATAATTATCAGGGGCATTGTCTGTGTCTCTGGCTCTAGGTAGAAGAGAATTCCATGGTTCATTCAACAAACATTTAGGTACCTGCTTTTAACCAGACAGTGAGAATACAGTGGGAACAAGACAGAAATGGCCCCAAGACTCAGGGCTGCTCACAATTTAGTACAACAGTACTGTGGCCAATGTCGGTGGGGAAAGAATTAGTTTCGACAAATGCTTAAAAATGGAGGCACAGCTAGATGAAATTCTTTGTTTGACTTTATTTGCCCTCTTTCATTAACCTAAGAAGTTCAGTTGGGGAGCCAAGGCACCCAATTGGGTTGGGCATGAGGGTGGAGTGCACATGTGTTATATTCTGAGGATACCACTTATGTAGCCCTTCTAAGACTTGGACTTCTGCAATAGCCTTTGCAGTCTTCATCATGGCTCAGAATAGCCCAAATCCTTATCTGGGGAGCTGTGACCAGCCAGTGGTTCTTCTGGGCTTCCTATAGGAGCATGTTCTTTTCCTCAGCATCTCCACATACTAAGCAATTTGTGCACCAGTCAGACTTACACAGTGACCAAATGGTCCCAGTTTGCCTGAGACTTTCTAGTTTTAGCTCTGAAAATCTCATGTCTCAGGAAACCTGTCATTTTTGGGCAAACCTGGACAGCTGGTCACCTTTCAATCTAAGGCTATGTGGCATTCACTTACCTAGTTAACACAGGTTGTTCCATGAGTTACAGTAAAGTCTTTCCTTTCTTCTTATTTCATAGGGAGTACTAATTTTTATGCGTTCTTTCTTTTCCTCTTATGCACTAGCAGCACGTGGTTTTCTTTGCTTCTTATCCCCAATTCCCTTTGTCTAGAATTCTTCCAGCAGCTTAAACAGATGCCAGCAAAGCATCCATTTGAAAGCCTTTAAGTAAGAAATAAGAAAGCAATGCCTTACCATCTCTGGACATTCCTAGGGCAAGACACTTCTGCAGTCGGCAGTGTTGGCAACGGTTTCTGTTGGTTCTGTCAATTAAACAGTTTCTCTGCCTTGGGCAGGAGTAAGAGGCATTGTTCTGCTGGCTCCTCCTAAAGAATCCCTAGAGGGAAAGGAGAAGGGGAGGGAGACACATTTATAAGAAGGGAAACAGAGACCATTAACATAGGTTTGCTATATTTTCTACAGTGAATATAACAGTTTAATTTTTAAAATTCTTTGGGTACTTCTCCTTGGATAGCTTACAGATGTTACTACTGGAGGAAATATGTACTATCTGCAGAGGTGTGAGGGTGTTATTCATTCATTCACTCACGCATTTAATCAATGTTTACTGAGGACATTAGTGAGCTGTGCTGTTCTATGCAAAGAAAAGCAGAAGGAAGTTCCTGCCCTCACAGAGCAGTGGGGAAGGAGATGCAGAGAAGAAGATCACTGCTAAGCCAGATATGACAATGATGGATGGGGACATTGTCCCCATCCATGGATGGATGGATGGATGACTACAGGCTTATGTCAACCACTGTGGGGTGAGGAACTTGACTGGCAATAGTTCTACTAAGGCCTGTGGGTTCGGCAGGTGCTACTATCTTCCTAGATTCTAAGATGCATGTTTCCCCATTTGAAAATTTTTGAATTTGGCCAGATTGCCTCTGGAAGGTCGTTTTTCAAACCAATGATGTACCTTATAGTCAACCACATCTTTGAATAAAGGAAATATGGTATATAAATTGTTCAATAAAAAATAAGCAATAATTAAAAGCTGAACTAATGCCCTCTGCTTGACCTCAGGTTATAGCAATGTAAGAGGTCTTCATGCAAGGAAGTCTGGGTCCTTCCGGTACAAAATGAACTGCCATGGACCGTACACTACCCTTCTAAATAAATCCACAGCTGAGTTTATTATTTTTTAAATTCTTTGGATACCACTTGCTTTAGTTATCTTACAGAAAACCCTATTGGGGAAAATAAACATTTTCTCCAGAGAAATGAAAGCATCATTCACCCATTCTTTCACCTATTTAATCAGTTTCCCTCATCGCTCTTTACTCTTGAACTGCAATGCAGCAAAAGTGTAAAGTGCCACGAGCAAAGTGATGGTCTCTAATGGATTTACCGAGAGCAATTTTAGGAAAAGATAACCCACAGGATCATCTTTTGGAAGGAGGTAGCCTGGAAACGGTCCAGGACGGTAAGCCCAATGCCTATGTTGCTGTGAGGCCTGGAAGACATCACCCGACTTCTGACCACTGCTTCTGTGTTTCCTCAACTGTCAACTATTGAGCAGGGCTGGGACTAGGGTGTAGATAGTGAGGCAATCACACTGGCCACAAATTTAAGGGTCGTCAAAAGACTGGGCAATCCGGACAAATAATATTTTAACAGAACATATTAAATATCAACATTAATGAAAAAATACTGAAAGTTTAGATAAAGAGAGGATCAAGATTATTGATTCTCCTTTGGTCTTGGGTTCCAATGTGGCTCAGCGTGGCACTGTAAAGGGAGCTTGTCTAACCTTGTGAAGACCCTCAGAAGTGAACGTGTGGCCAAGTATCTCCTCAGAGAGAAAGAGTGCCCATTGGTTTTGCAGTTGTAAACCCAAGGCCATTTAACAACAAGAACTAGTTTTGTCCCCAGAGATCCATGTGTATTATTTATTTAATGGATCAGTGGTGGCAGAATGAGATATCCAGTTGTCCAGTTCGAATGAATTCACGGAGCCGCTTAAAACAGAGATCACATCCAAGCCCCCAGGGATTGAAATGATGTACTCATAGACCATGAAAGCTGTCAGAAAGCATAATCTTAGCCCATTGATCTTGATTAAAGGTGACTTGAAATTTACATTTTAAGAAAGAAGCCTGTGGTTTTCATCTTTGGGTACTCCAGTGCCACTTAGCAAAAGAGTTGACAGAAAAGACTTTAGTGAAATCACAGCTACAGCCCTAATTTAAGGCCAATTTGACATTAATTATGAGGCATTTTTTGCTTATCTGTTGCTCATTACTGCAAATGAGGTTTTTGGCATGAAAAAAGAGATTCTGTTTCAAATTTTGTTGAATGAATGGGAATTTGAATAAGTGCACAAGCTGAATTGATGTTACTTAAAATGGGTTGTTTATGTTGACTTGAAAACAGTATTATGAAAATTCAGAGGTTGATACTGAACATGCTGACATTGACATCTTATTCTGAACAGAATTTCTTGAATTTTCTATTTGGAGAAAAGTGTAGCATATTTACAAATGTGGGTTTTTCCATGAAATAAAATAGTGTGGTGTACAAGGTCATTTTGACTAAAACCTCAGGGTATGCTTCATAATAACAGCATAATTTCTCTGATTGTGGATGCCTCCTTTAAATAGAAAAGATGACAGGAACAGGACTTGTTCCTGGCTATTGACCTGTTGAAATATATTTGTTCAGTAGCTAAATCTTTGGGAAATTACTGTTTAAAATGTTTTACTCCTTAACAGGAACATATCCTCATATTTTGAAATCAGACATTTTCCAAATAGAGCTTGTATAATGAAACACAAAATATCTCCACCTTGACATTGACTTAAAATACATTTTTGGTGGACACTGTGTAAACTAGATCAGAGCTCTTAATATCGCATAATAAACCAACATAGTCGTGGAACTGCTTTCACTAGAGAGGGTTCTGATTCCAAAATTATTAGTATTTACAAAGAAAACTATCTGTCTACCTGCCCAGGGGAAGCAATAACTTACTCCAGGGGGTTAAAAAATTGCTGATTTGTAATTTTGCTTTATTGTTTTTTCTGATGAGTTGAAAAAATTGCATTAGGGTAGATAACATTCAATTCTTAATTGTAGGTCTGCAGAGGAACAGAATGCAAGGCACATCTTATGACATTCAAATATGGATTATCGCTAATCACCTCCGAGGCAGGTCAGCATGTTGATGGGTTAGTACATTAATGTTTTTCTCCCCTCTCTACAACCCTTGCCCACTTTATTCTCATTTGTTTCTTTTTCTTTTGTTTCCTTCAGTTTCAATTCCAGGAATAATACTTTTTGAGACTATTATGAAGACTGCCAATTTTTCACATAGCACCACTATTTGACAGTTACGGTGTGTTTTGTTTCATTTATATTTGAAAGTCCCTTAAGATGAAGGCTGGTTCTTAGAATCCACGATCATGCTATCTATTCTTCAGTTTACTGACCTTAAATTAAGGATGCACTCTGCTTGCATCTTTGATCAAAAATATAATTGTTTTCTCCAATAACTTTGCCAGCATATCACTTTTTCCTCCCAGACTGTAAATGCATTTTATTTGCTCTGGTTACATATTGCCCTTTAAAATTCGTTGTAGAACTGTTTTTATTTCCTCTTGGATATTTAATCTCTTACTCTTTCTTTCCTTTTAAGGATGAAAGTTAAAAACTTACTGTTAAATTTCAAATTCCTCTTATTTCAGATTAGGTCTATGCTAACTGCTCTTCCCTCAGCTTTGAATTTTAAAAGCAACCTGCCCAGAGGAATGAGTTTGCCTTTGGAAGGATTGGTTGATCCGGTTCATCCGGACTGAGAATGAAAAATCAAGTGTTTTCAACTCTCACGCTAACTAGATCAGTGACGTTGGCCAAATGACAAAATCTTGTTTATACCTCAGAAACTCCTTGAAAAATGAGGAGGTTGGGGTGGATGATTTTTAATTAACTTAGAGATTATCTGGTTTACTTCTAACATTCCATGCTTCCCGTTCTATTTTTCTGGAATGTGAGGACAAAGGATGGCCATATGCATATCACAACTGTTACTTTGACTTCTTTCTCAAGCAGATAAATAAATGTAGGCTTGTTAGTTATAATCTTTATTTTAACCTTTAGTTCTTTCATATAGTATAAATGCCCTGGAGTTTACTGGAGACGATACTGTTAAAACCTAGAGAATCAGTATTTATATTTCTGTAAATGTGACTAGCTCAAGCTTTTAAATAAGAATCCATTTTTAAGCAGCTGCTGACCAGTTAGACAAAAACAAAAAGGTGAAAGGTCAAAGAACGAAAATCAGCCCACCCACCCACCAAGCAAGGATCCCTGAGTGTCGGCAGCAGGCACAGAACCCTTGGCAGCCCTTGTTTAAAAAGGCGTCCCCCACGCGGGTGAGGTACGCGGATGCCCGAGGCGAGCACAGATGCTGTCGGCAGCGCTGTGTTAAACCCCGTACCTTGCAACCTTCACACGTGATGACTCCGTAGTGGATCCCGGAGGACTTATCGCCACAAATTTTGCATGGTATCACTTCAATTTGTGCTGAAAGGGGAAAACAGACATTTTGAGCTTACAGGGTTGTCTTCTTCCTTTCACCCTCCTATCTCCCTCCCCACCTCTCCCTGCCGTGACCTTAGAGTTTGAGGACTCTGGGGTGGGGTTGGGGGTCATCCACTGCTATTTGCGTGACCTCCCTAAGCTGCTTCCACAGGAAAAAGCATCCTTCTATCATTGTTTGCTTTGTTTTCCTCAAACTAAAAAATATAACCAAGGACCAGAAGTTTTCTCAACTCTTGCCTTCACTGTGTTCTTTTTAAACTTGACCTTGAAATAGTGACTCAGAAATCTCTTAAACTCGTGGCTTTGGTTTTCTCATTTTGCACTTCAAACATTGAGTTACTGAGAGCTATCAAATTGCCTTATTTCAATAATATTTTAAATAAGTAAATAAAGCAAAACTGGAGGGGGTGGTAGTGGCTTTATACATTATGGGGCGGGATGTTTACTTGTGAAAATGCCAATAAGGATTCAGTCCAATGTTTATTGAACATGATTATCAAATCATCTCTGAACATGCTCTGTATGTCCACTAAAAGAATAAAAGTTGTTGACACAAGATATACTAATGACACCAATAACCTAATTAAGAAAACAAAATTAAAACATGGAAAAATCAGAGAAAAAATGATAAAGTATATGGGGACTAACGAGGAACTGATAGAGTTTCATTGGAGATGAAGACAGTTTGGTTGATTTTGAAGATTGTGTAGGATTTGGTTAAGTCAAAGTGAAGGGCAGAGGGCATTTCTGCAAGTAGAATGGAATGAGGGAGGTCCAGAATGATTGTGGCTTGTGATCATCAAGACAACAACTTGGTTATATTGGAAACTTGGGTCATATGGTTGAATAGAGGGGATGATATCGGATTATGGAGCTCCTGGGAATTAGGCAGAGGAATTTTCATGTGATATCACCATAAGGAATCAAGGAAGTGAACGGGTGAAGAAATGATGAAAGTGGTGGTTTGGGTACCTTAGAAAGGTGAGTCTGGCAGGCTAACTGGAAACAAGCAGAAGACTAACTAAAAGGCTTTTCCTGACTTGGGTGTTAGGAGATGAAAGCATGGATTACATTCGTGGCAGAATAAATGGAGAGGAAGAAGCAAACAGACAGACAGTTCAAAGATAGAAGTGAGAAGATAAATGGCAGGAAGGATACAGAGGTGGAAATTGATAACGAAGAAGGTGACTTCTAGCTTCCTAGCTTTCAGTGTGAGATTAAATAGTAGGTTTGACAAAAGGGGGGACGTTGGTAAGGCAACTACTTTGTGGAATATGGTGGGGCGTGGGATTTCTGTTTTGTGTGTGTGTGATTTGGTGTGATGTCTTGTAGGCAACTGTATATAGAACCTTTTGGAAAGATGATTTTAAGTCATCACCATTGAGGTTATGGGTGAATCCATGAGAAAAACTTTATGTAGAATGTAGTAATTCCTATGTCTCTGATAGTATTCTAAGAGTTGTTAAAATTATACACACTAGGAAGAGCTGCTATTCCCACTCCCAATTTAAAATACTTATGCAAAATATGCTTTAAAATACTTTGTATATCATCTGCCACTTGGATGTTTTTCTATACTTTCTCACCCTCGAATATACAAAACAAATAAGTGCAAGATATAATCCTCTTTGTCTTATTGTTTTACATTTAAAAAAAAGATAACACTCAGCTTTAGGGTAGCCCATTAAATTTTTTGAAATTAAATATTTCACAGGAACTTCAAATCATCTTTATAAGCAAAAAATCTGTGCATGTCCCTATTTTTCATATGAGAAAACTGAGGATTGAAGTTGTTAATGATGCCCTTGAGTTGACTTGGGAGATGGCAATCAGAAATTAGCTAGTTTCCTGATACTTCATTCAGTAACCTCCAGCAAAGATAAAATACAAATACAACTTTGAATTCCTATGTTATTCCAATAGCACCAGCTAAAGAAATAATGATAAAAACATTGGGAGAAGAGACAACTAAAATCAATGAAAATACTTATTACACTATGTATTTCTATTTGCTTCTGTTCTTTTGGCTTTCAGATAACATTAACTGTCCTGTTTCTTTTAGCTTTCAGATTACTTGAACTAGTATTTGTTTTCAAGATTTTGTGATACGGGAAAAATGTAAGATTTGATGTCATTCTATTCTGTCCTGTTCCCTGGGATTCCAGTCCCTAATCTGTTAGTGATTGGGGCCATGGCCAAGATAAAACCTCTGATCATGTTTTCTGGTTTACAAAGTTTAGCTGACAAACTTCATAGATTTGTGAGGATTAAATGAGATATTTTATGTAGAAGTGGCTTGTAAATAGTAAAGAGCTACAAAATGTCACTCTTCATCATCATCATCAACAGCATCATTGTTAACTAATATTTCTCATACTTTTGGACAAAAAAATATGACAAGCCACATTATTATTCCTTTATTAAAAATCTTATTAAAAAAAACCAGATGAATGATACTATAAGTTATTTGCACTGTTTTTTTGTTTTTTTCAGTGATAACCTTTCAAACAGTGGATTGTTTACAATGATTACAAAGTTGACTAAAAATCCCAGGTATCCATTGTACAGTTGTTAGGCTTATATGATATTAAGTCAGAGGCACTCTTTGCATAAATTACTCCCCAGGGAGTAACTTACACGTGGGGAGAATCTGCTTCAATAAGTTCTTAATTATAAAATGATCTGACTCTAAAGGAAATGAAAATAGAGGTAATTTGCCCCCTGGGATGTGAGAAGATGTTTTTGAAAGCCACAAAGGTTATCTTACACAACTTCGGAAATACAAACGGGATAAGGAATGATTCGATAGAACATCTGCATATTTATACATATTTATAATCCTAGCTCAACATGTAATGCTGAAGAACCATAAACATTTTAACAGTATTTTTAAAGAGAAAGAAGTTACTTAAAAGGGTACGTGTGGTGCTGTGTGTAAGACGGGATATCAGTTTGGAAAACCTATGGCCATTTTTACCTATTATGGTAGAATAGATCGGCTGAGGTTTATTATAGGGGAAGATAAATTTAAATAATTTAAAGTGCTAATCCTTTTCCTTTTCTCGCATTTAAAATAAACTGCTTCTGAACTGCAACTTCCTAGTTCATTCTGTCTATTTTATAAAGCACATCTTCAAGGCAGAGTATTTCAGACACTGGTGAGAACAACAGATCACATTATTGCTCCAGTGTTCGCCATGTCTAAATGTTTTGCATCACACCAGCCATAGCCTCCTGTGCAATTGTCTTGCAGCGAATACAGATCTGGAGACATGCTGTTTATCATGGTTTCAAACTGAACATCCGGGGAGGATTTGGTGTGACATTGAAGGCGCCATAAGGAAACTGAGGGGGGAGTTCGCCTTTCGTACTTTTGCTTGAGTCATGGATTAATTCAACAGCAGCATTCTCTGAGAGAAACACAGAGGAGCTGAAATGCCCTGAGAGATGGCTTGAGATACACTCAGTTCTCAGTTTTTCCATTTTTTATATCTTTCTCTCACTTATATTTCTCTATTGGTAATCCTTTGTGGAGACTGTAGTTAAAATTTTACTTACCGATTAAATTTTTTGGTTTATAAAAGCAATCATACATAGTTTTTCTTTTTTGAAATGATATTCTTACGATGTCAAAGAATGTCATGAAATATTTAAAATAATTTGATGTTTTACCTTATATTAGAATAATTTATGAAGTAAAATGAATCGAATATCCCATGATTTGGAAGGCAGGTCCTATTCAACAATTATAGAGTCGTCAAAATTTGTTTCTTCTTTGAAGATGGTAGTTCTCTCCTCCTAGTACCTCCTGCAGGGCTTTCCTTGCTTAGAGCCCCTCACCACAACATCTCACAATGCCGCCATGTGTTCAGTTCTTCCTGCTCATCAAACGGACATATCTTTTGTTCTGCTCCCTCAGAACTTGTTGCTGGTGAAGGCAGGTGTTAAGTTAGGGTAACTAATCCAGGCTAATGAGTTAACTAGAAAATGTATCACTTTGATCCATCAAAATACCTTAACTCTTAAAAGCATCCATCAGGAATGGGAGTAATAATGGATTGTTCAGGAGACATTTTTACTGTGTGTGCTCTTCTGCGCTCAATTCCTAGCATTCCATCTCTTACAACTCACCCGGGCCACTTTTATATTCTGGGCATTTTAAGTCCATTGAGGACAAAGTCCAGGTCATACTTCTTTTTTATATTTTCTATGGAGCCCAAAAGAGGATTTTTATAACTCCTTAAAGCAGTGGTCCTAATTTTGTTTTTCTTTCAAAGGTACAATTAAGAAATTTGACATCCTCCCTTTTATAAAACAAGCTTTATGCAATTCTGATTTTCCAGATTTGGGGTGAAGAGAAGAAATCGGGATCTTGAGATTGGGGTGGATATATATTTTGGAATAGGCCCCCAGGTGATTCTGATATGATATGATAAAGCTCCCATTGAGGATTACATGAATCAATTTATTAACTAGGAGTTCTCTGTGGCATGTAAGCTGCCTGCATAGGAAATAAAATCCAAGGAGAAGGCTAGAATCTGGAAATTCTAGGGAGTGACCAGTAATTCTCCCTGTTCCCAGGCCTTTGGTTTGGAGCTATACTTGCAGCATCTTTTGTTTTCTGCCTTTTTTTTTCCTTAAGGGAAATAAGAAGCATCTACCCAGTCTACAATAATTCCTATTCCTGGACACTGGGTTTGCCTCTCAGTTTCTGTTTCTCAGAATTTTATGGTTCTGCTAAAAGTGGGCAGTGCAGGAAAAACTCTTAATGTCTGAGTGAATCACAATTTGCACATATAACAACTTCCAATAAAGATGACTATTTTGGTTAAAAATCCTTTTGCAGATGGTCTCAGTAGCCCAAGTTGTATCGCATCTACCCAAATTGTATCTCAGCTATCATTTGTGGCAAATCCAAGTTAAAATCCCTGTTTTTACTCGTTTCTTTTCTCACCGGCAGACTGATAAATATCTACCTCTAT